CACTTGCAGTGTGTTTGAGGGGGGGGGGCGGGGGGGGGGACAGTGCACAGGCTCCTTGGCTGTTTGCTTTGCTGGCTCCGCCTTCCAAAGAGGCTGCCAGGCCATCCGGGTGCCTCAGTTCCACTGATGGGCTCAGCGGCCCCTTCAGGGCTAATAGTCGAACCGTTCCCCGGCAGCCTTGGCTGGGCCCAGAGCACTGCAAAGCCCCTGGGGCCAGAGGGCAGGCGAGCAACCCCCTGGAAGACCCCCTGCCTCTCTTCCCTGCCCACCAGACTCACGTTGCGCAGCTCCATCCCCGTATCAATGATGTGCCTGACGCTGCCCACAGAGAACGCTGCGTCTGCCAACCAGTGGGTGACAATGACTCGGCGTGCCTGATCGCCCAGGCTGTCCTCGTACAGCTTCTGGCTGTCCCTCCCCACAGCCGCGTGCAGAGGCAGCACCAGCAGCGGCCCCAGGCTGGCTTCCAGGTTGGCAGCCTCTGCTCGGAGGGCCTCGCAACACTCCTGGATCTCCTGGGGGGAAGAGACAGAAAGAGGTCCCTTTCCTCCATGGGCAGAACCCCCGGCCCCATCCCCACCCCCGGAAGGATGCCCAAAGGCAGAACACGGCTGGCCCCGGGGCCTTTCGATCTACGCAGCCCAGAGCCCACCTGCCTCTCCCCACAGCCTGGACTCTCTTGCCAGGTCCCCCAAATGCCACCCAAGGGCCCTAAGCTTCCTGCCACACTGCTTTAGCGGGCAGCTTCTGCCCCATGCCGGCCTCTGCCCAAAGTCCCACCTGCTCACTGGCCACGAAGATCATCACGTCGCCAGTCTCCTTTTGTCGATGAAGCTCCAGCACGGCCTGGCAGGCAGCAGGCAGATGGCCCCCTGGGAGGGGGTCTCTGTAGGTCAAGCATGGGGCTGGGCCAAGCCCCGGGACCCGCACCACGGGGGCATCCTGGCAGAAACGGCACAGCTGCTCCTCCAGGAGAGGCTCGGTGACCACCACCAAGCGCAGCTCTGGGCGTTGGTGCTGCACGTCCTTTAGCAGCCCCAGAAGCAGCTCCGTGGCCACCGTGCGCTCCTGCGCCTCGTCCAGCACCACCACCCCGTACTGCCGCAGAAGGGGGTCCGAGGTCATCTCTTGCAACAGGACTTCGTCCAAACAAAACCTGCAACACAGAAGCAGCAGCAGCAGGCTGAAAGAGGGGCTCTTTTGCAGGGAGATCACCCTCCGCGCCTTCTTTGGGTCTTTCCGAATGCCCCTCTTACTCCAAACACTTTTCCCCCCACAAGCATCATTGGTTGGGACCAGTGAGGCCCCAACACGGAAACGGCTCCCAGGCAAAGGGCTCCCACTGACCTGAGCAGGGTCTCTGGGACGCAGCAGTCCTCGTGGGGCACACAATAGCCCACCTCGTGGCCCACATTGAGGTCCATCTCATCTGCCACACGCAATGCCAGGCTGAGGGCTGCCAAACTATGAGGCTGAGTGCAGACCACGCGGCCGTGGGCAAACTGTACCGAGAGAGCTTGCTCCGCGCACCACTGGGGCACCTGGGGAGAGAGGNATTGGACAGTGTTTCTGAACCTCAGCAAGTTTAAGAAGTGTGGACTTCAACCCCCCAGAATTTCCTATCCAGCACAGCTGGGGATTCCCAGGAGAATTCTGGGAATTGAAGTCAATACATCTTACAGTTGCTGAGGTTCAGAAACATTGGTATAGGACCTTCAGGAAAAAAATGGTGCCTTTGTGGAGGGAAGTCCCAAATTAGCAAAGTCAAATTACTATGTAGTCATATATATTTCCATTCAAACAAGCCACTTCTGTAAAACAAGTCAGCTCAGAGCTAGTACCAAGCAGGATGCCTCTGACCGTTTCCAAAGCCCTAAGCTAGACTAGAAAGAAGGCAGTCAGTTTTTGTTCTGGCAGGAGTCATCCTGGAGGAGATGCAACTGTTTTCTTTTACTATTTTATCTCGGGATAAAAATTAACCAATGGCCCCAATATGTTCACTACCGCTAGGGATAGGAGAGCAGAAGGGGAGATGGGTGGAGACAAGTGGGGATCCTTTTTAGTGAATGCCATGAAAGATCAGATCCTCACAGAGCCTCTCATGAAGGTCCAATTGAACTGATTTATTGCTAATTATGCCTACGTACAAGAATCTTCTTAACTAACTGTTAATATCTGTTTGGGTTAGGGTCAATAGAATTCAAGGAAGGTTGGGCTTAGTTCACTACTGGTAGTTACGTAGGGATTATAGGCTGATCTCTCTTTTAACTCCTCCCCCACAGGTTCTGCCACTCCTCCTACATCACTTCAACAGCTTCCTGGCAGCTGGTTCAGCCAGTTAACCCTCCCCTTCTACTAGCATGCCACAGGCGGAGCTTGCCATAATGGACGACAGATGCTGAATTTCTGCCTCCTCTGGACCATCGCAGAGAATGGTTCTAAAAAAATATAACACCCCTCTAAAGATTATGAAATTTGAGAGATTATGAAACGTGGGTTATTTCCNTACTACTGCTTTCATTGCATCCCATATTACACCTGTATTACTACCTCCCTCTTCATTTAGAGTCCATATTTCTTTTCATTCCCTTTCCATTTTTTAAAAGCTCTTTATTTTTAAAAATTCTCAAATCCATTCTCCATCTACTTGCCTGTTTATAATCACAATCTAAATCACAAGTTACCATTGCATGATCAGATATTTTTATTATTTTTATCTCTGCTTTCATTATTTTAGATAATATTTCTGGTGTTGCAAATATATATTCTTGTAAAATTGTTATGTCTACCAGAAAAATACGTCAACTCTTTTGATTACCATGTAGTTCTCTCCAGACTTCTTTCAATCTATTTCTATTAATAAATTTTCTTAAATCTGTATTATTATACTTTATTTCCGCTTTCGATGGATTGGATTTGTCAATTCCACTATCCATAACCATATTATAATCACCTGCCATTATCACATATCCTTTTTGATTACTTCTATTTCTTTATATACCCTATTATAAAACTCTTTGATTTATATTAGGTGCATATAAGTTTGCTAAGGTAACCTCTTGTCCATAAATCAATCCTTGAATTATAAGAAATCTTCCCAAAACATCCCTTTTTGTAGTCTTTATCATAAATTCACATCTTTCAGCTACAATGATTGCTACCCCTCTTGCTATAAAATGTACCAAATGCCTTTTCATATACATCAGCCCAATATAACTTAAGTTCATTCACCCCTTCTTTCTTTTGATGTGTTTCTTGTAAAAATACAATATCTATTTTGGTAGCAGCCAAGGGTTAATGTAATACCTTTTGTGGTTGTCTTGGAAATCTTGGAAATGATGGAGATGTGCATATGATGTGGATAAAATAAATAATGGCAAGGAATGCATTGAGGGCTGAGGTTTCTGTCCTTTAAATGGAAAGAATCTGTATTTTATGTGCAAGACCTTTCAGGTAATGGACTTGCAATTGTGTGAATGGCTTTAAAAATTAAAGGCGGGCTGAGATATAAGTTAAGAACCAGGGGGTATACAGGGCGGGGCATAACCTTTTCCTAGGGGGTCACAGCAACACTTGTAATAACAACACAAATAATTCATACACCATTCGAAAGCCCATCNCAGGTTGGTATGCAGGACGGTTGGCCTTGACCAACTCTAAACACCAGCCATCAGCATGCGCAGTAGATGGTGAGAACAAAACTCCCTCTTAACAAGCTCTCCTGTACCAAATATTCCCCTCCCAAATACCAGCCCCCCCCCCTCTGTTTCAATGGCAGCTGAAAGCGAATAGCGAAACAGAGGCTGACATATATAGTGTTTGGAGGAGGAAATTAGGGAACTAGAGAGTAAATATATAGAAAGTAGAGAATAGGATTATGTTAGAACTATCAGCTAAAAGAAAAGAGTTGCAAAATATTGAGATAGAACAGGTTCAGAGAAATCTAATATACTTAAATGGGGAATTTTATGAAAACAGTAATAAAAATTCTAGAATGCTGGCTCGAGCCACAGAAGCTAAAAAGGGAAAAAGCCCCATTGGAGTAATAAAGAACAACAAGGGGGCAAGATGTAACATGATGAGAGAAAAATTGTTGATATTTCAGAAGTTTTTTGAAAAGCTATATAAAGGAAATGACATAAATGTGAATGAAAGTCAGGCATAGATAGAGAATAATTTAAATTGTAAAATTCAAGAAAATGCTAAAGAAATAATGGAATCACAAATAGAAGAAAAGGAAACAGTGGAAGTTATTAATAAATTGAAAATAGGTAAGGCACCAGGGTTAGATTGATTAGGTGTAGAGTATTATAAAAATTTCAAAGGTCTATTGGTGCCGAAGTTGAAGATAATGTTTAATAAAAAAAGGTTAGGGGAAAATATTCCATGTGTCTGGATGTAATCCTTGATAATACTGATAGCAAAACCAGGTAAAGATCATACAAACCCAGGATCATATAAACCAATATCACTTATTAATTAGGACGCTAAGATTTTTACAGCAATACAGGCAAATAGATTTAATTTATTTATAGAGAATTATATTAAAAATGACAGGTGTGGATTTATAAGAGGCCAACAAATGTCAGATATAGTAAGAAGGGTATTAAACATAGGTTATTGTTCTGACCCCCTCCTCCGTTTGTTTGTTTGTTTTATTTATTTATAGGCCGCCCTTTTCCCTGAGGGGACTCAGGGCGGCTTACAATCAANGGAAGGATGGAAGGCTGAGTCAACCCTGAGCTGGTGAGATTTGAACAGCCAAACTGAAGCAGTCAGCTGAAGTAGCCTGCAGTGCTGCATTTAACCACTGCGCCACCTCGGCGCATTTGATTTGGAATTGGACCAGTGGTGAAATTCAAATTTTTTTACTGCTGTGGGTGTGGCTTGGTGGGCATGGTATAGCTTGGTGGGTGTGGCAGGGGAAGGATACTGCAAAATCGCCATTTCCACCCCACTCTGGGGCTAGCCAAAGATGGCATTTGCCGGTTCTCCAAACTACTCAAAATTTCCGCTACCGGTTCTCCGAACTACTCAAAATTTCCGCTACCGGTTCTCCAGAATGTGTCAGAACCTGCTGGATTTCACCCCTGAATTGGACATTTTTTCAGAGGAGCTTTGAGCCTCAGCACTTGCTTAAAGAGACTTGAGAGACCCCTGAAGGCGGACGGGAGAGGAAGGGTCCTTTGATTGAAGTCTGAGAAGGAAAAAATTGGGAAAGAGTTTAAAGGAGTACAGCCGAGAAGATAATAGCTGATTTATGAGTTTAAAGTGTGAATGCCCGTTACTCCCTTTTTCCAGTCGAAGTGTCGAGGCTTGGAGAAATTAAATATTTTTAAGACACAGATTGGATAAGGTGTGTATAATAAAGTTAACTGCTGCCATTGGATTTATTTAGTTTTATTAAGTTGCATTCTCGGAGATAAACTGATAAGGATGAGGCGAAGACAAAGGAGGAAGTAACATTTATGGACTATGCACTGTAAAACTTTTAAAAGATCAAGAGCTCTTTTTGGATGGTTGGATGTCAAAACGTAGCAAAAGTTTGGAAAGTGTTTGGCAAAGACCCAAAGTAGGCCTCAGTCCTTCAGAATTACGCCTGATTCGTGTAGAAAAAGATTTAGAAATAGAAGCAAGGAAAAAATCACATGAGAAATCACTGACTCAATCAGACAAATTTGATATTCTCTTACAAGAATTAAGAGAAATGAAGAAAAACATGAAGGATAAAATGGACAATATGGATATAAGAATAACGGATTTGGTGAAACAAAGTCAGGATATGACACAAAATATTATAGAAGTGAAGACTCAGATTGGAGAACATAATAGGGTGTTAAAAAGCCAGATGATTATGATGCATCAGGTGAAAAAGGATTTGATCGAGATACAGGACCATCAGTGCTGCTCAAATTTATGGATACATGGATATCTGGAGAAAAGGGAAGAAAACGAAGCAAAGTTGATCCAAGGAGTATTGGACTGGGCTACCTCGATCCTCCCAGATGTCCTTTTTACAAGATACGATATTAATGCAATACATAGAATTGGCCCAAAAAGGTTGGGAAGAAAATATCCGAGACACATGGTGATAAGATTTTGGTCTTATGCAAAAAAAGAACAACTGATGTGTAAATTACAAAATATGGCGATGATAGCTCCCAATGACCACCTGGGGCGGACGGACCTTTCCTCCAAATTCAGTTCCGCCATCCACTCCGTCTCCAAGGGACATGAGGATCCGGCTGCCCCCATGTAGTCCTCCTGGTCGCTGCCTGGGTTGGACATTCCGTTGAAGGTTTTGGTTTTATTACACTCCCCTAGGAAGGTGTTAGCTCCGGGATGAGTGCAAAAGTGAGACCTTGCTTAATGTCAAGCCAGCCTCCTTCAGCAACCAAGAAAGAAACCACTTAACTCCATTTTGCAGAATTAAGAGTACTTTTACTGGTGTCATGTGGGTTACATCTCCAAGAAGCATCATCAGGTTGGTATGCAGGACGGTTGGCCTTGACCANATTCTATTCTATCCTATCCTATT